GAAGCTCGGCCAAACACTAGCATTTTGTGTAAACGCCAATCTATTATTATTATCATTATTGTTTAAAAAGTTTTTTTTAAATTTATGTATTTTATAAAAAAAATTATTGCTAAATGATGAACAGCATAACGCTTAGGCCTTCTCGTTAGCAGACCTTTCAATTAGTAAAGAGCTTTCAAGATAGTTTCCAGAATTGACATACAACTGCCAGAGTCGCCCAGTAAAGCTCTCTCAAAGTAAGCTTTCAAGCAACGGGCGGTAATTGCGAACATATTTTCGCGACCCAGTCTAATGTAGGACTGAGTAATGCGCCAGCAAAAAATGCTTAAACAGAAAAAAAATATTCTTACCATTTTTCAAAATGCAATGCAGCGCAAAATACCCACAGCTTGTCAGTGAAGTGAGGCGCTTTCTACCTACAAACATACCTACGTGTACAGCAACAACAATGAAACTAACGTTGTCTTAGCAAACGAAAAACTGACCTAAAATACAACATGAACTATCGGAATCCGCATTCATTTGCGCTGTATGTATGTAAGTATGTATGATAAGGATATCCGTACATGCTGTCTACAACTACAATGGCATATAACAGGTCATAGTTTTCATGGTAGCAGTTAATTTTTCGTGACACTCCTACCTCACCAGCAAAACGTCCCACGCCCTAGATAGCAACACTCGGCTTCGGGGACACGTAAACCAGCCGCACTGCCAGCTGACAAGTAAGTAGGCTATCGAGTAAATAATTGAGCTGTGTGGGTTCTCAGGGCGGTGCAAGGTAAGCTGGGAAGCAGTCAGCAGTTAGGCAAACAGTTAAACAGACACGCATGCACTTACCATTGGGGGTATATGGAAAGCCGTTAGGGTAGACCAAGTAAGCCAAAAAGGACAGCAGCAACGACAAGCAGCGAAAGCAAAAAAAAAAAAACACACAAAAAAAATATGGGTAAAGCAACAAAAATCGAAAGTTCTGGCGTAACCTATAGCATACATACACAATTGTGTAGAATTATTTATGTTAGTAGTTTTCTTGGCAGCGCTGCCAATGAAAATTACACTGCCCCACCTCACCTCTTCTTTCACACTGCAGCTATTGCACACGCTTGCTACTACTTTTGCCGATTGATAAGTATTTACTTTAATTGCACTGCCTGCCTGCATGCCTTCCTGCTTGATGGCCTGTGTGTGTGACCCCCAGCCTCACTCCTTATCCACCAGCCGGCACGCAACCTGCCAAATTGCTAGTCAGCTAGTCTGTTAGGCTGCCTGCCAAACGTTTGGCTGCCGCTCGTTTGTGCGCCACTTTCAGTCTATGCCGAGCCGCCGACTCGTGCATAATTCGGAAAACTCATACTCGTTAAAGGCTTAACGATTTCGGAATTTCGATTTTTCTAAAAGTAGAAATTGCAATTGTTCAAAGAAACAAATAACAAAAATGCTTTGCGCATTATTGTTTTAGTTCGGGCCGAAGTTCTTGAATGCTATAATATTTTCAAATATATTACCGGTCAGTGAGTGCACGCGCACTTGAAAATGCAAAAATATCAACAATGGTTTGCGGTGCTTGGCAGCGAGTGCATATCTATTGGTATTTTTGTTAGTGGCAAACACAATACAAGTAGTTATGCATATATATGTGTACATATGTATAAGTTTAGTGCTGTTGGTGAAAAAATTATTAAAGTGAAACAAAAATATTTAATGTATATGAGAAAAGTCAAAAGCTTAATTACATAACAAACAAGTGCAAGAAGCATTGGAAGAATGTATTTAAATGCTGGTGACACAGCAGAATATGTACATATGTACTTGAATAGATGCACAAGTATGTCTACAGAGGCACAGTGCAAAGTATAATAATATAAGAGTGGTGTAAAAATAAATTTTATTAAAACCCTCACAACTTACCGGTTTTTTGGCTGCCTGTCTATCTCCTCGCAAAATGCGCTGTGTTAGCGGCTTGGGTACAACGTGTCGTATGAGTGCTCTTTAAACCCAAAGCAATATTGCCGCTTGG